TTCTGCTTAAATTACTGGTATATATTATAAAAAGAGGCCAAGTTAAGTTGGCTCATACATAAATTAGATAATTGAATTTTATTTATTTCTTTCGCGGTCGACTTTTCCCTGGAAACACCCATATGTCAGCAATCGAAATTATTAAAAAACTTTAAATAAAGATATATTGGACCACCAAAACGCATATTTAATGGAACTGATTAAATCGAAAAAAAAATGTTCACATAACCATGTCGTAACCTTCTATTCTATGAACCTTGCGCACCTAAATTTCATTTGGCAACATTCCGCCGTCTTGGATGTAAGTTTTTTTGGGGTTTTTTTTTTTGGGATTTGCAACCTTATTTTGCATTTTTCGTAAAAAATGGTTCAATGCAAATTTGTAGAGAATTTAATTACCCACATTGCATTAACCTGCAATTTTTGCACAAAGTTTGAAATGTGGACTTATATGGTGTTTGTTATATAATAAGGTCGACTTTCATGGAAAAATAATAAACATTAAATAAACAAAAGCAAAATAGCCAAAATTGATCAAAATGTTGCTGACTTAATTAGCTGATCACATATATGTAATACTTCTATATTGCTAGTACATTCAGAGTACATTCCCCAACATCAGAGTGCCGAAACATTGAAAAAAGAAAGAGAGATCCGATAAGAGAATGTACTCAGAATGACAATTTTACTTTTCAAAATTCAGGAGCGGTTTCACAAATTTTTATTTAAAAACAACTCTTAAGAAATATTAACAAAAAAAAAAAATTTGTAAATCTATGAGAAGCGCTGCGGCCGTTGGTGGTGGCAGAGGATAAAAATACCAGTTAGAGAAGGACTTGGCATCAGTTGGCATTTCCAATTGGCGTCAATCAGCATCGAAGGGAATCGAATAACGTGCTTTATTGGATTCGGCCAACATATAAAATACCACACCGCTTTATGTGTAAATAAGTTTTGTTTTTATTCGGAAAAATCTTCTACCTTTCAATTTTTCAGATTTCCAAATAACGAGGAGCATCGGAGAAATTCGTCATACCGAGCCCTGACCGCTAAAATAATTTAGGTATATATATGTATATATATTTTTAATTTACTTTTTGATGCAGGTGCTCTAAGAGGCATTTATGCATCAAAATTAAATTTTTAAAAAAGTTGTCTTACTTCATTTTCGTGGCTAGGGCTCGATATACATTTCAGAGTGAAGGAAACATGAGACCGTCAAATTTGTGTTTGTTTGTTGAATCCCCTGACCCGGCCCTGTTATGATATGGCACTTCATTCTATGTATAAATATACACGTATACTTCTACAATCACACAAATTTTCATAGGCTGTTTTTTTTTTGATTTCGAATGGAAAACTCATTGCGATCATATTGTACTAGCAAAATAGAAGTATTACTTATATGGCTGATCACCAAGTGTACGCACTATCAACTCGCTTCAAGCTGTATATGTACATATCGAGCCCTAACCGCCAAATTATTTTTGATGCGGAAATATCCCTAGGGCATTTAGATGTATTTCTGCATCAAAAAGAAAATTTTGAAAAAAAATGGCGCTTACGTTATTTTAAAGGTTCGGGCTCGATATGTACGTATGTATGTATATAATTTAATTTTTGTTCCTTTGTAGAAGCAAGTATAGGTTGCTGAAGAGCTCGTTTAAGTTAAGACATTTGTACATATATATGTACAGTGACGAGCAAAACTGTAACACGGTGTAACACTTTTTATTTCAGCCACCGCTAAATTTCCAAGTTCTAACGACTTTCATCCTTTTGTTGTATATTCTTGTTGGTACATCCCTACTCCCTCTCTCATAACGATTTGAAGTCAATACAACAACAATAAAAAAACCAGCAGACAAAAATGTAAATTAAGGCAGATGTTACAGTTTTGCACTCACTCTCAGTTTTGCATTTGACAGTTATATCTTACTTAGTTGGAAGTCAGATGACTTTTTTCTGTATTGTAATTGATTGAAGAAGTGATCACCAGTAAATAATATAGTTAATCAGGAACCATAAATGTAAATAATAGATTTACTGCGGCAAGGCGGAACCGCACGAAAAGTGGCAAAAAATTTTGGAATTTGCTACTTGAAAATGTTAAGACTGAGAAAAAATATAGCCT